CTTAGGGTGTGTATGTATTGATTTCGCTGCCAGCATTAATAAATGCTTTCCCGAAACCTCACATCTTAAATATTCTCCTTTATAAGAGAAGAGACTTGACAGAGCAAACAGAAACTGCCCTGCCACACAGGTTCAATGGTGTGATATCCAGGCAGTCTCTTTGGAAGTAACGTCTGGGGCCCATTTTTTATGTAGCTTGATGGCTTCGTCTTGATGCCACCTTCCTCCTGGCCTAAAATTATTTGTAGTCCACACGGAAGCTGTTTTTGTCAAAGTTTGGGGAAACAAAAGGGAGAGGAAATGCCACAGATACAGAGAAGTCCGTTGTTCATGTATGCACACACCCAGGATGTAGAGATAAGACTTCGGTTCATTTAACATTTCTGTACATCCGCTGGTCCTCTTAGTCCCCAGCAGGAAACAGGCTTTGGACAAAAGTTGAACACATAAAAGACATAAAAGATCCAAAGGTCATTCCAGGTATACCTGTCTCTCAGCTTCTGGATTTGTTTGATGCTTGCCTGCTTCAAGCCCAGCAAGAGTCACCCACGATCTTGAGCAGGGAGGTGATGAAAAGGAGCCCTACAGACGTACTTAATCATCAGAAGTGTACACTTTGCTGGCCTGGCTGGAGATTGTTTGGAGGCCGGATTTGGTCTAAGGGGCTGCCAGTGGCTGACCACTCTTGTACATGATGTCTCCAGCGCTCAGCAAGAGGCTGCTATTTTCAGCAGATGTAGGAATCGGATGACAAGAGAGGGCAACGCTTGCAGTGTCAGGACAGCAAAACCTTTGCTGAAGAGCATTTGGGTTCCGTTTTAGCACTGCATCTACCTATAATATTTCAGCGTAGGTGAATGCTTCTGTCACCTGGGAATCCCCAGTTGATTTGTTGTTTTAATCTACTTACTGTATATTAGGCAGATATTTTGTGTTAGAGATATTTTGTGTTAGCATAATCCATGCATGGATTATGCGAACATGCTGCAGACATGCTAGTATTTCAGGCCTGAGTATTCAGGATCTCACCTCTCTGGCAGCATTTAATCTGACACCTGTCCCTGGCTGTCTCTGTCTAGCATGCCTTCTGTCCCATCCATTAAAATGTGCCTTTTCCTCCTGTTGACATTCTGTGAACAGACTCCACAAACTTGTGGGTTCTCCTTTATTTCATAGTAGAACTGTGTGATGTACCAACTGGGGCTTTTGCTGCAGCAAAAGGAGTCTCCCATCCCCACCATATTATCGTTGAAAAAAGTTGAGCATAAACAGGAAAGACTGTGCGTGCTATTCAGTTCTGGTACTCAGGACAAATTTCCAACTCAGAATTAAAGGCTTTAATATATAATTTGATTCTGGTTATGCTAAACTTGACTCCAGTTGTGCTAAACCTTTTTCAGTGATAATGTGGTGGGGATGAGAGAGTCATTTTCTTCCAGCTAATGGGTTTTTAAGTTGGAACTGACTTATACGTAGCAAACCCATTAGGGCTTTCAAGGGAACTGCATTATTGAAGATGTGGCTTTCCCAGTTCTGCTCCACCCCATGGGTTTCCGTGGCCAAGTGGGGATTCGAAACCAGGTCTCCTGGGTCCACCGCAACAATATTAGGATTCAGAGATCCCTGGGGATGTGCTGTAAACTACCAACACTGCATATGTACCAGTAGATCCAGTTCTCCAGAGAATGGAAAAAATACTGTATTTGCTGGCGTATAAGACTACTTTTTTGCCCTGAAAAACATGCCTCCAAGTGAGGGGGTCATCTTATACGCTGGGTGCACTTCAGTTGGGATAGACATAGCTGCCCATAGGGGCCTTCCGATGCTCACCTGGTGCCCATAGTAGCCTCCCGATTCCTGCCCACCTTATTCTACATACCGTCCAGTATCGCACAGTATCCAGCACGGCCGCGGCGAGCATCAGCAGCGAGACAGTGGTGCCAGCCTTTTCAATGTGACCGGACCGTTCTGCTCAGCGGGAAGCAGCAGCACTCCGCCCCGCCCCTTGTCTACGCAGAGCTCACACATGCGCACTTGTGCACTAGTGCCGGTCACAGGGAGATGCAGGGGCGGCCCGGAGGCGCTGCGGTCATGCTGTGGCCATACAATGGTGACAATGAATAGCACCTTTTATTTGGTGTGTGGAAGGTGTGCGGAAGAGGGGGTAGTCTTATACGGTGAGTATATAACAAACTCTATATTTTGAGTGGAAATGTTGGGGGGTCGTCTTATACGCCCAGTCGTCTGTCCTAGAATCTTCCGACCAGAGTGGCAGTGGCCGTATTATATAGATGCTGGGATCTCAATCCAGTTGGGAACCCTAGTTGGAGCAGGCCCATTTCATCAATGGAATTTACAGAAGTGTTGATTTGCTATTCAGCAGTTGATCCAGTGAGTCTGCTGTGTTTGGGACTAGCTATTCTATATAGGCTTGGGAGTTGTAGACCACAAAAGCCCTGTTTTGAAGCTCTGGTTTGATTTCTGATTGTCCCTGTTACAAACTATTTGTGCAATACCTGTTTCAACAGAGTGGAAGGAAAGGTGGGAACCCAGTTGCGTATCGTTGTCAATATTACGTGTAATTGACGGGGGGATCACAATTTTGTCCGTGGTCATGTTTCATGGTGTGATGACTCAAAACTGGGCCTTCCTGCTGGTGGCCCCCTTATTTTGGAATCCTAGGGAAGTGGGGTCGGCCTCAGTAGCACCTGGTGCCCCTTGTGGTAGGTGAGGCAGAACATAGAGTTGGGGCAAAAATGGGTAATCCTTCTCACACCCCGCGTGTCCTTCTGGATACGCTACCATGTTGAGTTTTAAATAGCTAAAATATATATTTTACACAAGTCTAATCTGGTTGAGGACTGTTACCACTTTAAGGTTGTTGTGTTCTGTTGTCATATTTAGTTTTATGGTTAATATTTTTGATGAAATATGCATGCTCTATTTTGATGGTGACAGTAAGGATGATATTGTGTCCAGGGCTACCTTGGGAGGGATTATTTAAACAGACAGATAAACTGATAAGAGTGATCCACATGATTGTTTCACAAGGCAATCACCACATGACACCAGCAATCCTCTCCCCCCTCCCCCCGGTTACTGCTTTCATGTTATTTGGAAGAGGATTTTCAAAGGACCTTGTGGAGTCCATGGCTATAAATGCCTGTCAAAGAATAGTAAATATTAAATTGGTCTGATAAAGCAGGATAGGTATGTGCTAGGGTTCCAATGGGATGTGGAATTGGAATGTAATTTTTCTAGAACTGTAAGAATGTTTTAAATTACAGTTTTGCAACCTACTTTTGAGATATAAATCCAGTCAAGAATGGCTCACGTGTCAGATCAGCAGATGGTAATAAAAACTGCAATAGAAGAGTATTTCCTCAAGAAGAAAGCTACAGGGTAGGTGGTCCATGGAGGGGCTGAATGAAAGTTAAGGGGACCATTTTAACTGAAGTAGGCTTGACCACCTTCTTCATCTGCCTTCTTTGCTCTAGAATTTTTAATTGTGCTTTTTGTTCAGTGAAAGAAGAATGAGAGTAGGGGTGGGGCAGACTGATTTGTTAAAGTCAGTCCAGAATATTGAAATCAAGACTTTGCATATTCTCTGCCACTCCCAAAGTTGCAGTGTCTGTGCAAAGAGAAATCCAGATTGCCGTGCCAAGAAATTTTGTGATGCATACTGAAGTGATCCAGAAGTTGCACCTGAGTGTTATTCACCCCCTTCCTTTTTTGCACATTTGATTGCATTGCTGCTAGTCATGGGGATGAGTAAATAGAAGAGAAAATTAAAGATGGATACTCAAATGCCTCCGTTGCTGCAGAGGGCAGAACTAAACCAAACTAGATGATAGGAACTCATTTACTTAGCTGAATAAATCTTCAGATGCTTTCAAACACAATAAATGCATGTTAACAACAAAAACAGTGGCACACACTCACATCTTAAAGCTTGATACTATGGTTTGACACAAAATATAAAACACTAGAATATAAAAAAATGTAAGTGCATTTTAGAAAGTCCGGTAAATAAAATAAATGTATGTATTGCCAATAAAATCCCACCAGGCATAAGGACTATGATGTAGTTCAATTTAATCAGGCACTTTCTCTCCCTCCGACCTGCAAGACTAGCAACTATTGGCATCAAAAACTGATTTAAAACTCTTAGGAAAAAGAGTTTGTTTGCCTACTGTCTCGTGTGGTCAAGGAATGGGGATAAATATTGTTCTTTGTGGTTGGAATATACAGTACGTGGCAGTGGGTGAGATCTTCCAGCTCAGCTGTAATGAGCTTAGATTAGAGTGGAGATTTCAACTGAACTTCAGCAGAAGTTTTGTGACCACAGAGACATTACTTCTTGGGACTACAGCTTCCAAAATCCCCCATCCAGCATGGCCCATGTTCGGGTGTTTTGGGCAGTGGAGTTCAAAAAAGTAATCTCTTCAAGCCCATGGGACAAACGTTTTAACAATAAATGCAGTTTGATTATATTAGTAATTATCTGCAGAGATTGTGGGCTCTGGTGGCCTTCAAGCAGAGGCTGGACAGCTATGCGTTGAGGATGCTCTTGATTTGCTTTTCTTGGAGCAAGGGGAGGGTTGGATTAGATGGCCTTCAAGATCTCCTCCAACTCTTTAAGTCATGTGTGTTCCAGCTACTAGAAACATTATTAGTCCATCCTTTTGGCTTTTGATACTTCAACAGAAATTGCTGATATACGCAGAGTGCTTTTTTTGTAACTTCTAGAAAATGATGGCAAATACTCAAAGATGGTGACCATCCTGGCGTGGAAGAAGTCACTTTCTGGGCTACAACTCTCAGAATTCCCAGTGGCCGCACTTAGGGATTTTTAGTCAAAAAAATAAATGTTTCTTAGTGCTTCTTGCACTGCATCACATGACCCAACACCACCCCAATTTTGCACCTAGTGCCGTACCCATCGGTGCCCGCTTCTCTATGCTCACTCTTCATTTTCTCTCTCCCTCTCCCCTTTCCAGCAGTCCTGATGTGCATCTGCTTGCTCTCTGTCACCTATGGGGCCTTAGTCTGCAATGTCCTGGCCATCCAGATCAAGTACGACGACTACAAGATTGTCCTGCGCCCGCTGGCCTTCATCTGCATCCTCCTCTGGCGCTGCCTGGAAATCTCCACCCGCATCACCATCTTGGTTCTTTTCGGGAGCGTCTTTAAACACTACGCCATGGCTGTCGGCGGGGCCAACTTACTGGTGTTCTTCTTCTTGCCCTGGGTCCAGTTTTGGACAAGTGGCGGCCAACTGCCTGACAATGTGGAGAAGAACTTCAGCCGGGTGGGCACCCTCAGCGTCCTGTGTACCATCACTCTGCTCTACGCGGGAATCAACATCTTCTGCTGGTCAGCTGTGCAGCTGAGGTTGGCCGAGAGGGAGTTGATTGCCAAGTCCCAAAACTGGGGGTGCTTAGTTTTGTATTATGTCTTCCGGGGCATGGAGAACAGCGTGCTGGTCATCTGCTGGTACTTCTTTAAGACAGACATCTACGAGTATTTCTGCACCCCAATGGTGGTGCTGCAGTTGATGGTGGCCTACTGCCTGGCTGTCGCCTTCATGCTCTTCTTCATGCAGTATCTCCACCCTTGTCGCCGCCTCTTCACACACAACATCTCTGACTTCTTGGAGTGTGTCTGCTGCAGGCAGGCAAAGGCAGTCCGGCCTGTGCTTCTTGAGCCCCCCTGGGAGCCTGGCGTAAGGCACAGTGTTGTCTGAAAGAAGAGAGTCTAAACAGTGATAAGCCTCACGTTGCAGATAGTAGAAAGATGGACCGCACACCTCGCATAGCCTCCGTGCCAGCTTAGCCTGAGGAGACGGGCCTTACATTTATGGTGCTAGTGCTGGGTGTGGCCTCAGACAGCCTCCTAGAGCATCACGTGGACTGACAAAGAAGATCATGGTGGACAATAAGGGTACCGTGTTGTCTTTATTGATCTTCACTCATAGTCAAGGTTTACCAGAATGTTACACTCATCTAGCTGGAGCAGCCATGGGTTTCAGGATGAGTGCCTTTGGCTGACAGAAACGTGTCTGATATGGATGGGACTGTACTGAAATGTCCAGGCGCTGGATGTCTACTGGCATGTTTACCGTGGTGACACAGCAGACCTATCTGAAGGATGTCCTGCATGGTTGAATGCAGGATGAGTTTAAGAAAATAGTAACATGATACTTTTGAGGAACAGCTAACGGACATTATGTGTGGTGGAGGGGCCCCTCCTTCATCACACCACTGCCTTCTTTAGACTGGATAGAGTTGTGGGTCTAGTGTTTTCAAGGAGTCAATGTGCAGCCCTTCGCCTTGCCAAGTGTCGCTTTTGGGATGTGACCGTTTTATCCTGCTCCTTAATATTTATTTATTTGTTTATTTGATGTGAGAAGGGACAGCGTTGAACTCCAAAGAGTGTTGGGAATCATTCTGCATTTTAAAATAATTTAAACTTATTTTACCCTTTTGTTCTGCTGGTACTGTCAATGGTGAGCATTGTGACAACTGTTCCAGTTGAAAACTTGACATATCCTAGGCCAGGGGCAAAGAGTGCCTTCTTCTGCTTACTCCCAAATAGTTCTGTAGTTCCAAAGGTGGGTGTTTTTTCATATCTTACCTAGGAAAAGTCAGTTTAAGGGACAGCCAGTATAGAAGGACTCTACCACAAGGAAGATGCTCACAGTGGCATGTTGAAGCTTTTATTGAGGGCCACCTAAGTTTGATACAGATACACAGTGAACTGGGTCATGGGCAAAGTTTGGAAAATGTACCGTATTTTTCCATCTATAAGACACCCCCATGTATAAGACGCCCGCCCACTTTTCTAATCTAAAATTAAGAAATCTAAGTGGGGCTTAGCAAGTGTAGGGGGAAAGGGATCAAAGCGCTGCAGGATTGCTTTGATCCCTGTATTCCCCTCCACTTATTTTTGTTGTCTCCTCAGCTTACTTCCATGTATAAGATAACCCTCAATTTTTAGTCTAAAGATTTTAGACAAAAGTATAGTCTTATACACGGAAAAATACGGTACTTTTTTAAAACCACAAAGATAGATCCAGGAATTCCCCCAGGCCAACATGGATACTGGCGAGTTGTAGTCCAAAAAAGGAACTTTTCCAGATTGTGGGGAAACAAAACTGCATCATGGGATGAAAAGAGACAGTCACTTTCCTTTTTCTTTTTTAAAAAATGCTTTCCTTCTTTGCTCAAAATGTAGAGTATACCTCCTTTAATGACCTTTGTTTTCTCTTGCCTGCATCCTAAGTAATGTGTAAACATTTCTCATATATTAAGAATGAGAGTACAGGGTAAACCTAGTTGCAGGAAAGGATCCAGACCCCTGTCTCACCCATCTTCACTGCCTATTGCCATCTCTCTCTCATGCAGCGTGCAGTGGAGGCTGGTGGCTGATTTTGTTGGGGTAGGTGATCTGTTTCAGGTCTTGGTCTGAACTTTATAGCAGCTGCCCAAGGGGCCAACATCTGTTTCAGGGATAGCAGCTTGGATAGCTTTTTGAAAGTTCAGAGCAGAGCCATCCCCCCCCGCCCTGTGCAGTCACACAATGCCCAAATTTCACTAGCAATAGGCTTTGTGTAGTAGCATCACCTCATCAATCAATCAAGTGGCAGGTTGGTTCTGTGGGATTGGGGCCATCCAAGGACGGTGAGGCCAAACCTGCTCCTGTGTCCACTCCCGGACTCTTCTCTATAACATAGGGTTCATTTTGTTTTTTAAAAAGTTTCCTAAGTTTCCTTGTGCCCTCTAGCGACTACAGGGAGAAGTTTCCCCTTTTCTTGACTGCTTCTGAGCTGTTCCAAATGACTTCTGGATTTTTTTTGGGGGGGGGGACACTTTCTTCGGCCAAAAACAGGGGTGTGTGAACTCATATGCGTGTTAGTGTGTGTGTGTGTAAAGATGAAATTGTCCTCAGCATCTCTTAGAGCACGCAAGAGGGCTTTTTAAAACAAACTGACCAAATAATTTATTTTCAATTTTGGGATATGTTGCCAGGTGTGCTGTGTGGCCCATTTGCGTCATGGGGTGGGGTGGGGTGTATTGCCTGTTGCCTGCAGAGTGTCCAAGAGGTGAGAGGATCTAAAAACAAACAAATAGCCTGAGGGGGAGGAAACATGTTTAATGGCTGTAGAATGCTGATCAGGTATTTGTTAGGTGTGGAAAGGAATCGTGGTGCGATCGAGTATCCCTCAGGTGGACGTGGCTGCGAGAATGCACCCAGTCACCCTCTCTCGCTGCAACAGTATTTTTCCGTTGCAGGTCCCACCTCTCTTTTGCAGGAAGCCGTCGGCTTCCGGAGATGCCCAAACAGGGAAAGCCAGGTTGTTTGGGAATAATTCCAAATAGCCTATCACGTCCTCTCTTAATTTGATGTCTGGAAGCAATTGAGACAAGTTCTCTTTTCATTGTCATTTGATCCTAGGAAGATGTAATGCAGGAACCATCAACAAGGATAGAAAAGGTGTGTCCTGATATTTCTGTTTGATTTTAATGTGATGTTTTTAATTAGAGAACCCCACATCAACATGGGTACAATGAGCATTTCTTGCTGAGAAGAAGAGAGGCCTACAAACAACTACCGAGTTTCTGCCAGGTGAGAGATTATGTTACAAAAGGTGATATAAAAGGGTGTAGCAAAAAAAAAAGCAGCTGAAATGATCATCATGTATACAATAGCATCCCATTTAGTCCTAAGGATGCGTTCTAAGAAAAGTACTAACGGAATCGGTGCTAATGGAGGTCATTTGCCTAGGACCCTTTATGCTAGGAGTGCTGGCAGGGAGTAAGTAGACCAGTTCTTAGGATTCTGAGAGGATTCCACCACAGAACCGGTAGGATTCCGTCCAGCACCACAAAATGGCTATCCGAGGATGTGCAGTGCAACGAAACAGTGCTATAGCTGCGTTATGTGGAGTATTCTTGTATTGGAAATAGCCCGCGACTGCCAGTTTTGATACTCCCATCTGAAATGTGAGCTCTTGAATATGACACTGAAATTAGCATTTTATCAGTGAAATTTTTTCCTCAACCCTCAAGTGCTTTGGTGTGCCTCAAATTCTTTTGGCAGGCATAAAATACAAAAGGTCATAAAAAGCTAACAAATACTACACAACACTGCATGTTCTCTATCAAATGCTGTCAGATGCCAAATATAATTCTAGGCCATCAACCATATACAGTCAAATATTGAAAACAATTGCATGACAACCATTGAATTATTAGGCATCCTTCAGTCTCGAGAGCCTATGGTAACATGCTCTTTATGGAGGAGCTGGAGCGTCCTGGGTAAAATAATATGGAGGATAGGCTGTTACCCAATCCCCCCTCCCCATCGCTGAAATAATCCAATGGAAAGGCAAGAGCCAATACAACTGGTTTCAGCAACGTCGCAGGAATTGACAGAACGACACGAACTGCCTCCGGGACTCTGGCTCTGGATTTTGCCCCGACCCATGCGGGGGGAAATGGAGGAAGAGGAAGAGGCTGCCGCACTGTCTGAGGGGAACTACGAGGAGGAGGAGGCACTGAGGGGGGAAATGGAGGAAGAGGAGGAGGCTGCCGCACTGTCTGAGGGGAACAACAAGGAGGAGGAGGAGGCGCCGCTATCGTCCATGCCTTGAGGGAGCAGGCCTGGTAGATGGGGCTCGTCAGCCTTGGAAGGCAGCCCATCTCTGAATGCGGATACTCCGGCCTGAGAAATTTTGTGCGTCAATCATGACATCTGCTTCGTCCAACACAAATACTTTGATCCTTTTCACATCTAGAATTTTTAGCTTGAAACACAAATCAAGCAAGGTTCCTGCAGTTCCAGGATCGCTAGTCGGCATCGTTTATGGTCGGAACGACAACGGTATCTGATTGTCTTCCATCTCTGAATGCGGATACTCCGGCCTGAGAAATTTTGTGCGTCAATCATGACATCTGCTTCGTCCAACACAAATACTTTGATCCTTTTCACATCTAGAATTTTTAGCTTGAAACACAAATCAAGCAAGGTTCCTGCAGTTCCAGGATCGCTAGTCGGCATCGTTTATGGTCGGAACGACAACGGTATCTGATTGTCTTCTCTTCGAACCTAGTTGGCATCGTTTATGGTCGGAACTACAACGGTATCTGATTGTCTTTGAACCTCCATTCTTGATATGAAATACCATTGCACCTCAAGTACCCCAACACCGTGAAACATCAGCTATTGAAATAAAATGTTGTAATAGGATGTGTAATAGGTGGGTTTCAAATACTTGACAAACAACCCCAAATGGGAGTGCTCTGAAGGGTATTTGGTGTTAGTGTGTGTGGGAAATCTGAGGAGAATTTCTCGGAGCAAATTTTATTTCAAAGACTTGAGGCACGGTTTTCGTCCTGGTTTACCCCAGCTCCAGAAGCTGACTAGCATCAGCGTAATCCCTGCGCAAACAATAAGTTGCCCAACCTGTTTTTCTGGGCAAGAAAAGCCCCAGGGAAAAAACATTGCCATGAACTCGGTAAATTCAGGTGAGCTGAATTAATATTGGAAAATACACATAGCCAAAACTGTGCCTACATGACATGCCTATTTACTCTGCTACTCCCAAACTACTTGCTGTTTGTTGTTTAGTCGTGTCTGACTCTTTGTGACCCCATGGACCAGAGCATGCCAGGCCCTCCGGTCTTCCACTGCCTCCTGGAGTTGAGTCAAATTCATGTTGGTCGCTTCGATGACACCGTCCAACCTTCTCGTCCTCTGTCGTCCCCTTCTCCTCTTTCCTTCACACTTTCCTGACATCAGCGTCTTTTCCAGGGAGTCTTCCCTTCTCATAAGATGGCCAAAGTACTGGAGCCTCAGCTTCAGGATCTGTCCTTCCAGTGAGCACTCAGGGTTGATTTCCTTCAGAATGGGCAGGTTTCTTCTCCTTTCACTCCAGGGGACTCGCAAGAGCCTCCTCCAGCATCACAATTCAAAAGCATCAATTGGTCAGCTTTATGGTCCAGCTCTCACTTCCCTACATCGCTACCGGAAAAACCATAGCTTTGACTATGTGGACCTACTGCATTAAACTAGTTCATTTAAAAAAAAATCATAGATGTGTCACGACCTCATGCTTAAAATACAAATGCAAGAATAGATTATACCTTTATGGACCACTTAAAAAAATATCATTAAACGATAAGTGAACTTTCATTGATCAACCCCACTTTATCAGGCTTGTACCTGTGTGGAGACCTTACAGTCCAAAAGTTTATGGCAAGGTACATTTTGCCAGGAAATGTAGTCTTAGCTGTAAAGTCGAAAGGTCTTGGCAAGATGGAGTTTGCCAGGCACATCTTTCTCAGATGGAATTCAGGAAAGGTGCAGGAAATAGTGGTTGCTCTTTTAAGGTTACAGCTGAGGAAGCTGTGGATCGGATGTCACACCCCAGATCTTCAAACAAAGAAGCACAGGCCATGTACACACACACACAC